ACTAGGAACAGTCTAAAAGCACACAGTCAACTATCATTGATTCATGTTCACCATTCCCTTTAAAACGTATTTTGTTTTGAAAACCAATTTTGAAAAACTTTAAGGAAAATGCAAAAAGTGTAGATAATGCAAGACTCATGAAAGAAAAGTGGTTAGAAAGGGATGAAATCCTCCCCCAGACTTAAATCACAGTGTCCTCAGTGTGAAACAAGTCGAGATTGGATGAGAAAAATGCATAGATAATCGAATTGGTAAGGCTAAAGAGAACTTACCTGGATCCGGGATGCTGGTGGAGATGAACCGGATTCATTCGAAGAGGTTTGGGAAGGTGATAGGTGGTGATGAAGGTGGTGGGAAGTGATGAATGAGGTGGAGTGGGGATTGGTGAAGTGGAATGAGGTGAAGTGGGTGGTTTGGGGTCGGGTTTGATCTCAACGACCATTTGCCGCGGTCAGGAGCCACGCGACCGCGGCAAACCAGTGCTCGGCCGCGGTCAGAAAGACGCGACCGCGGTCGAAGGGGTGTTTCCCGCTGTCAGAACGTCTGCGACCGCGGGGACTTATTTCGCGGCCTCTTCCTGCTTCTCCTTGGTTCCTGCTGGGCCGAGCAGTCATGGACCATCCTTCTTTTTGGTTTTTTCGGGTTTTTTTATTTTTATTTTTTGGCTTTTTTTATTTTATAAGAAACACCTGAAACTAAGAAAAAGAAAAAGATCGTTAGAAAAAAAAAGAAAAATCATAAAGAAAACAATACCTAAATGGGTTGCCTCCCATTAAGCGCTTCTGTTTTAAGTCGTTTAGCTCGACTTTTGGTGTTGGATGTGGCTTAGTCCAATGAAGAAGACCTTGTCCTGACACAAGTCTTTTTCGACATCTCCTTGCTTTGCCTAGCAGGTTCTTCGTCACTCCAAAGTTCTTCTTCAAAGTCTTCTGTTGCAGAACGTTTTCCTGCTTTGCTGTTGTATGGGACAGCTTCTGTGAAGACATCTTTGTCGATATTAGCAAATGAAATCCTCGAGTTTGGCCAGTCCATTATAGCTCCGGAAGTTGCTAGAAAAGACCATCCGAGAATCACTGGATATGTTGCATCTCTCGTTTCGACAATGTAGAAGTCGACAGGCACTATGCAATCTCCTATTCTCAAAGGAATTTCATGAGCTATTCCTTGAGGCGTTGCATTGGAATCATCAGCTAGACTAATCTTTGCTCTAGTCATGCGCAGGTGTTTAATGCCAAGTCTCAAAGCAATTGCCTTGGACATCATGTTAAGACAAGCTCCAGAATCACAAAGTACGTTTTTAAATATTTCTCCTCTAATAGAACAAGAGATAAGAAACTGACCTACACCTTCGATTTTGTGAAGTGTTCGAACAGGTTTACCTCTTCTTGCATGATTGAACAAGTCTTCTATCTCAGGGATTGATTCCTTGCTCTCACGGAATTAATGGCCTATCATGAAGTCTTTGCAAGCTCTGGCAAAGGTGATTCCTTCAGGCAAATTTCGAACCACATCATTGAATTCGTCGAGCTTTTCTTTGCTGATTTTGTTGGTGTAGTGGCTGCAGTCTTCAGGTCTTTGAAGGTGGATTGAATAGATTGCAGCATCAGGTGATGTTCTGGGAAAAATCAGACGTCTAGCCCACCCAAAATAGGTTCGGATATCCTCTTTTGTCTCCTTGCTGTACCTAAAGAAAACTTGCAAACAACCAAGATGCCATATATCATCGAAACCTGTGTAAAGAGGGATCGATTTCACCTACTTGTTGAATTCAATGAGCCTTTCTCTGGAGATTGGTGCTCCTAATTCCACCATTTTGTCTGGATTGCCTCCTTCTATGAACAGACGATAGTCTTCATCTTCGAGGTAGTGCCCTTCATATTCATCCTCATATGCTAAAACTATGTTGCAAGGAAGTACCTCATTTTCTTCTTGAGATGTTTTGGAGCTGATAGCATACACCTTTTGCTCATGAAGAGGGGTTTTGACCATCCCAGCAGATGTATCCAATGAACATTGACCTGTAAGAATAGAAAAGGGCTGAAACGTATCTGACCGACCATTTGCCGCGGGTGGAGGCTGCACGACTGCGGGTGGGGAGTGTTTTGCCGCGGTCAGGAGGCTCACGAACTCGGGTGGAGGGTTGTTGGCCGCGGTTGCGAGAGTTCCGACCGCGGGAGGGAGACTCCGAGTTGTTTCCTCTGTTTCATCTTCTCCTTTGCCATCTAAACTGATTTTTGGATCTTCTAACTATGTTTCCTCGTCTTTTAGGTCAAGATCTTTGATGGAAAGCGTCGAACCATTCGCTTCACGTCCTTGCATAAGCTTTTCGACCTTCTCTTCGACTTCATCAAGAGCATAGACTACTTTGTCCACGGTTGAATCGATTTCCTCTGCTTTGTCTTGAACCTTGTGTACTCCATCCCAAATCTCTTCCACGTAGGAGTAGATTTGGTTGTTATGGTCGTTAATAGTTTCTTCTGCTTCATCGAGCTTGACCTCTAAGGTGCGGATGTTTCCACTAGCTTTGCGAATGCTAACTTCGTTCTCTCCAACTCGTCCTTCAACTGCTTCCATCCTCTCTTTGATAGTTTCAGCATCCTTGTTTGCTTGAGTTTCGATGGTTTTGACTTGAGCAGAAAGATCTTCAAGCTTTTTGTTAAAGTGAGTTGACATGTTGTCAATTTTCTCGCGAAGGGCGGCTCTTGATGTTGCTTGAGCGTCGATTAAGTGCATGACCACCATCTCTAGTCGACTCAATCGGTGAATGAGTTGGACGTTTTCATCTTGGTGAGGCAGATGACGAGCAGGATGTCTAGGGTTAGCCATTGGAGGTACGTAGGGCTCGTTCTAGAACATTCTGTAGTCTTTGGTTCGAATTTCTTCGTAGAGATCGCATAGGTACTGCTTTTCTCTGCGTCTGGTGGCTTGAGGAGTGTTATAGAAACCTTCCTCATAGTGTGTATTTCGATTTATAGGATCCATATCTTCTGAAATGGAAACAAAATAACCGAAAAATGGAAATATGCAGAAAAAGGGGTTCTAGAGTTTATTTACTAACCTTTCTTGGGGTTTTGCGGAAAAGAAAATGCGTGCCTTCTCCGGCAACGGCGCCAAAAACTTGATGTGGTGTGTGTCGTGGTGTTAGGGGTTGTCAAGTTTTACCCTAAATGAAATCAATAGCCGCAAGTGCACAGCTGATCGATTGTAGTACTTAGGGATCGAATCCACAGGGAAGGAGGATCTTTCCTGCAAAAGCCTTCGAAAGAAATATAAAGTAAGGAAGTCTAGAACCAAACGGTTTTGTGGGGGGTTTTGGTCGTGTGTTTAAAATGTAAAAACGAATCTTAAAGAGAAAAAACGGGAATTAAAATGACCTAATAACTAAACTTAACGAAAACTGGTAAAAACGAGAAAAACGGTTAAACCTAATTGCTTTAATAAAAATCGATTGAAAGAGTAAATAAACTAGACTAAAGCTTGAATGAAAATCGGTGTAAATCTATAAGAAAAGAGGCGCTGGGGTTCAGGGAAGTTTTCTCAGGGGTAAGAACGATTCAAACATTGCTAGAGAGTAAATTTGATAAGATCTTAGCTTAAACTTTTCGAACTGGAGTCACGGACGTATGAATACGCCACTGTCGTGATCATAGACAACTATCTCTCTTAACTCTGACCAGTAGGTTTCCACTCTGGCCCTGGAAAAGAAGAGATGCATTATGTTTAAGACTCGTCAGCATTCACAAATCGTCCATAGGTAGGTTTCCACTCCTATGTTTGTTTTGCTCTCCCAAACTAGATCTGACACCGGATGAACACTTTCGTGTCACCAAGCATCTGGATCAGATTGTAGTTCATGACGCTACTCACATGCAGTAAAAACGAATTCAGAAGAAAAAGTTCTAAGATTCGGCTCAAAAGCTCATGGAATCCTCATCGAACATATAAATCCCCATCGAAAATCCCTTAATCCCAACAATAAAACTACTCAGACATGATGAACGAAATAAAAAACATAGTATTAAAAAGTAGAATAGAAACCGAAATTGAAAAAGAAAGAAAAAGGGTTCAAGAGACAAATCTCTCTCTCCCTAAAACCTAAAAACAAAGCTTAAAGTAAATTTTCTGTAAAGTGTTTCTTCGCTCTTCTTCTCTCTTCTTCTCTCTTAAAAAACGACCTAAATGACATGTATTTATGGTCTCCAATACTCTCTGGTGTCTAGGGTTCCAGAATTGAGGTTGGGAAAGTGATACAGCTTCAGCAATGGGCCTTCAAAGTCGGAGTTGGCTGGCCGCGGTCGGGATGAGTGTGACCGCGGGGAATGGGTGGCTGGCCGCGGTCGCGGTGCTTCTGACAGCGGTAAATGACCTGTTGGCCACGGGTGGAAACGCTTGCCGACTGGTTTACGGGACATCTTGCTCTTCGGGTATCTTTTGATTGAACCGTTGGATTGCCAAGCTGTAAAGTGTGCTGGAAAGCTGATACTTCCATCTTTAAGGTCTCCAAATTTGAGCTGGATCAGAAGGTGAGAAGGCCTTCAATCAGGGGTGAACTTCTGATGGTTTGACTCTGAGCTAAAATCTGGTTTTCTATCCATTTTGTTAAGCTTTTCCCTAAGTTACCTGAAAAGAGTCTTGGAACTACAAATACTAGAAAAACGTAATAAAAGTAATTGAAAGCAATTAAAAACATAGAAAAAGTATTTCAAAACGGTCCATAAAAGTGGTCAAAATACGGTGTTATCACTATGGCCGCATGGAATTTTTAGTTTCTGGTAGGCAGTGCATGAGCAGCTTTTGTCCTTCAAAGTGACGGTTTCCCTTGCTCCGAGTTTACCAATCACCTCTGAAGTCGTATTGTTGATGTTGTTGATTTGTGTAAATGTGCACTTCTTGAGATTGATAGTCATAAGCTTCTCTACCTCTATAGAAACCAAGCCATTACGCTTCGCTGTCTTTTTCTTTCGAGCACAAAACCAACAAGACATCATGTTTTGGATGAATCATAGCAGCTCTACAATAGGAGATGATCTTCCTTTCTTCAAAGCTTTGTTTAGCTGCTCGCAAGCGTTACTTGTCATCAGATTGTATCGTTGCCCTTGGAAATAAGCATTAGACCAATGAGCTAGCCCAATCTTCTCTAGGTATTGACCACATTGAGGATTTGTGGTTCTGATCGTCTCGTACAGCTGATGAAACTTACCGACGCACCATTTCATACGTGAGTCTGTAACTAGTTTCCCTAGGCCCTTACTTTTGAATTTTTCTACGACATTTCTGGCCAAGTGTACAATACAAGCACCATGATGAGCGTTGGGGTAGATTTGTTTCTTCGCAGCATAGATAGACAAGTATCTATCGGAGATGATTGTGAGGTATTTTCCGTCTAGCAAAAAAATTTCTATTTTCCTAAAAAACCAGGTCCAAGATGCTTCGTTTTCACTGTCAACTACGGCGTAAGCAAGAGGGAAGACCTGGAAATTGGCATCTTGTCTGGCCGCAGTGAGTAGACAACCTCTGAATTTCCCACTAAGGTGAGTTCCATCCACAACAATCACATGACGAAGCCGCCTGAAGCCGATAATAGACGCACTGAATGAGAGAAACAAATATTTGAATCTAACATTTCCGTCCTCATCTGTCTCTGTTTCCAAATCTGCTATTGAATCCGGATTTGATGCTTTCAACAAATAGAGATACTCATGGAGCTTTGTGTAAGAAGCATCATCAAACCCTCTGAGTCTCGTGGTTGATAAAACCTTGGCCTTGTAAGCTTTGCGGTATGATGCTGAAACCCGTAATTCTTCAAGTACCAGTTGTTGAAAATGAGCTGCCCTAGCTCCTTCAACGGTATCCCCAAACTTGGAATTGTAAACAGCGGCCATTACAGTAGACGAAGCCCTTTTCCTCCACATGTTTCTTTTTTAGATATACGGCAACCGAGAACGCATACGTCCAGCAGCTCAAGGTCATGGAGGATTGACCCAAAAGGGTGAGACCAGTTTCAACAACATGGCGGTGCTTGCGTTTGGCAATGCCATTATGTTCCGGCGTATGAGGTGGAGTTGTCATATGTGAGATCCCATGAGCAGACAGGAATGGACGAAGAGCAATATACTCACCGCCATTGTCAGAATACAAGGTACCGATCTTCTTCTGAAATCGATTCTCCACTAGAGCTTTGAATGCAATGAAAATTTCACGGGTTTGGGATTTGTGTTTAAGTGGATATAGCCATGTATAGCGAGTATGGTGATCTATATAACTAAGTAGTACTTACAGTTATCAATAGAGGTTATAGGAGATGTCCACACATCGCTGTAAAGAAGCTCAAATGGATAATTTGATGTTATGGTATTGGTGGAGAAAGGTAGTTTGTGTGTTTTGTTTAGAAGACAGTTTGAACAAGGGGATATTTTATTGATTGAATCAGAAATTGGTAATGAAAACTGGGAAACAATGGTTTTTAAAACTGAAACAGATGGATGGCCAAGTCTATTGTGCCAAGAAGTAATGGTTGTTTTTGGTGTAGGTGAGGCGAAATAGGAGATTGGTGAGGATGATGGCCACTCGTACACCTCATTCTTGGTGCGACCTTGGAGCAATTGGGCCCCCGTGCTGAGATCCTTCACCTGAAAAGAGGCAGGAAAGAATTCCACAGAAACTTGGTTATTATTACACATATGATACACTGAAATAAGATTACGATGTAAATCAGGTATGTATAAAACATCTTTCAAATCAAGAGTTCGAGTAGGAGTGTGTAGGAAAGATGAACCAGTGTGGGAGATGTTGACACCCAAACCATCTGCAATAACGACCTCTTCACCGCCGGTATAGGGTTGGTGGAGCGCAAGATTGCTTAGATCCGACGTAAGATGGTGCGTCGCACCAGTATCCATGATCCAGTTCCCAGCATTGTATGGAGCCGTCGCTAGATGTGCATGTGGCTGCCATGGTGCTTGGACCGTGGACTGAGGCATGTTGAAGCCAGCATTGTGTTGAATGAACTGAGGGCAGTGGCGGGCACTGTGGCCGGTGACGCCGCAGATCTGACACTTCCCGAGGTATGGGCGTGGTGTGTATTGGGATTGGCGAGGTGCAAATTGTTGATTTTTCTGCCAGTTGCTGTTGGTGTTGTTTCCACGGTTGGACTTGTTGTGATGCTGGTTTCGATTGGGACCTTTGTAGTTGGCAGTATTGGCCGTGATCGGAGTAGAGGATGGAGTGGGCACCAAAGTATGAAGTTTCACTTCATGATTAAGGAGTTTCTCATGAATCTCCGTGAGTGAAGGTGTGGAATCCCTGGCTTCAATCTGATCGATGACAGACTTGTAATCATCAGATAAACCTCCAAGGATATAGTCAATCTGATCCTCATGACCCATGGCTTCTCGTAGTAAAGCGAGTTGATCGAATCTGGTAGTCAAGCCTTGGAAGTACTCAGTGATAGTTTTAGTACCTTTTGTCCAATGCTTATTTTTTTTGCCGGATCTGATTGAAGTGACCACGGCTCGGCTTGGCGTAGGTTGATGTAAGTGTGCTCCAGATCTCTGCAGCGGTTTTGGTCTTTGAGAGGAGAGGCTGAAGAGCATTTCTGATGGCTCCAAGTAAGGCCCTATAGATCAAGCGATCCTGCCTTTTCCAGAGGGTATAAGCTGTGTTTGGAGTGACAACACCATTGGTTGTGACAGTGGATGGAGGAGCAACGGTGGATCCGTCCACATAGCCTGCAAGACCATAACCATCAAGCAGAGCATGGACTTGGAGACTCCACATGAGAAAGTTGGAAGCATTAAGCTTTGTAACATTCGTCATATTGACGTTGAGAATTGTTTGGGAATCAGAAACCACGACAGTATCGGTAGAGGTGGCCATTTGAAGCCATCACAGAGTTTTGAGTTTGAAAAAGGGATTGAAGAAGGCGGCCAAAGGAAAAAAAATTTTAGGTTATAGGTATCTTAGCTCTGATACCATGTAGATGTAATGACTGAATGATATTATTAGAGAGTGATTTACATCCTATATATACGAATATTACAGAGGAGACACTAGGGTAAATATATTTACATATCAATCATAGCAATCAGTATCAATGGTTTCCTTATATACTCTAAACCTTCAACGGTATCCCCAAACTTGGAATTGTAAACAGCGGCCATTACAGTAGACGAAGCCCTTTTCCTCCACATGTTTCTTGTTTCAAAGCTGCAGGTGTGGTTTAGTTGGGTAGAATGTGTCTTTGACCTCTTGTGCCTTTATACGCCAGTGGTAACTCTCGTCTGGGCATGTAAGGATGAAGTAATGTATTTTAGTTGTAGTTTGCCTGTAGGAGATCATTGATTTGATTGCTCAAATGGCTAAAGCAATTTGACATTCCACTTTGCTGTTGAATAGCTTCCCTTCATATATTCCTTCATCTGATTCATCCATGTGAAGGTCTAGAATATCGTCAGTTTTTTAGGTGGTATCGTCAAACAAGGGTAGGATGTCAAAGACTTCATCATCCACATCATCCAGAGATTCTGTTGTATGATAAACAGGCGGATCCATGGACGGAGAAACATGTGGATCTGATGAAGTGGAGCTTGAATAAACATAAGGAGATTCAGATGTCGGTATTGTTTTGGGAGTATCAAACATTACCTCTGTCCCGCGAGAGCCTCCGCATCCTCCATCTAAGAAAGGCTCCCAAAATTCACGATCATAAGTGGTAGACCTGGGGTCAAGATCTTCCGGAAGGCTTTCAATTTTACTGTCACATTCACTAGCATCATCCTGTGTAAACGATCGGAGTACTTGGGCATGTGTGGACTGAGGTTTGATAGTGTTTGGTGCATTAGCAGACAATAGATTTACTGACTGATTTGCAGTCATTTTGGTTGCATTATCAGACAATAGCCTCTCTTCAATGGATATAACTTGCTCCATGAAGCCGTCATCTTTGTCTTGGAACAGAGTGGTATTGATTGACTCTCCGGGAGTAGACGCAGTGAAAAAATTTTTAGCCGGAGTAGTGTAGCCTGAGTATGAAGATCGCGGGTAGGAGAGGGAGATTGAAACAGGAGCAGAGATGATTGGGGACCTGTTTGTCGTAGTTGAACCTTCAAGAGTAGCAGGCCTTGGAATCTTGGTATTCAAGTAATCTTCATCCAAACCAAGGTCAAAATTAGGGAGTTTAGAGGTAGTGGATGGCGAGGGAGTTGAAAATATATTGTCACGTGAACGCTTGAGACACCTTTCAAAAGTGGCGAACATATTAAAGCCAGGAGTGATCCGGATATGTTTGAAGAAAAAGGCAATGGCTCCATCGTGAGTTAGTAAGACAGGAGGGGTCCGAATCCCTGTAGCAAGCTCATGTGTGTTTGGCGGCCAGTATGAGAGAGAGACTGACATTCCACTGATGTTTGATGGAAAAAAAATCGAAATGATTTTTTTTGGAGGTTCTCGATAGAGATACCGTCGGAAAGTGAAACAAGCCTAGAAATGAGTTTCTTGTCGATTTCGAAATCCCACTTGTCCTGAGAAGTGCAGATCCATTCACCCGCTATGAGAACACAATAGTCCTCCATTAGGCTAGTTACAGGGACAATAAAATTTGTCCGCGATGAATAAAAGTTATTTCTGAGGAGAGAAAGTACCTGTTTGTAAAAGATTGGATTAGAGTTAGTGGATGAAGATTGTTAGTAGGTAAAGATCTGTTAGTAGGTTAGAGTGCCGTTTATTGTCTGATATCTGAGCTTAAAGCGCAGAATTGCAATGAATAGCAGTGGGGTCCTATATTTAATGTTTGGAAATGACTTGAAGACTTTATCAAAAGGGAGCAATGATAGATAATACCTGTGTTTAAATCCTAACAAAAAGAAGCAGTGACTAAATTTAAATGCTTTAAGGGTGGCAGGAATATTGTAATTTGAAAGATCTTAGTATTCTCAGACCCGGGGACCTCCCAATAACCAGATAAAGATCCAAAAAACTGAGAACATGTGGACGTATTTTGGGAAAAAATCTACACTTGACAATAGGAACCTTAATAAAAATTTGTTTTTTAGGTAGAATATTTATGGATAGGTATGGTAAAGTAGTAGATTGTAATTGTAAAGATGGTAATTCCTATTATCTGGGATTAAATTTAAATAACCTAAGGGTGGGTGGATTTACAACCATACTCGCTGATGAGATAAGATGAAATAACAAGCACTAAAATTTGATCAAAGAAAGAGAGAACATGAGTAGTTAGTATAACAATTACATCTATACATTTAAATAGCGGCTGAATAAGTATTTTTTTAATAGGGAGTTCGGATAGAATTACATCTACAAATTTAAAATAAAGCTTTGTTAAATTACGTCTTTTTATGTGTAGGTTTTGTAAATCCTATCCACAAACAAAGGCTGACAATAGGATAATACGATTTAGTATAAATATGGCTGAATAAAAAGAAATGGTTGCTAAATAAAGTATAGAAGGTAGTTATAAGAAAAACAAAATAAGAGTTATCCTAATAATATTAATAACCAAAATAAGAGTGCATACTTCTTCTACAAATTCGTGAATACAAAAATCCGTATCCAAACAGGTCTGGGAATAAAATAACAAAGCGAGTAAGGGCAATCATTCTAGTAAAACCAGTAATAAATGAATTCGGGCATTGTGTTGCAGAACTTTCTGAGTTCGAAGATCGAGTCACACGTTTTGCAAGGAGGAAAAGACGCCCAACGCAGAACGCTACACCAATAGCTTTTTTTGTAAGAACATGAACATTTTTCATCCTAGTCGAGAGAGAATAATGCTTCTTGTCTGTCGAAAAACTCTTGGGGAGCAGGGTAACCCCAATATTTTGGCCACCACATTTTCATAGCCTTCTGAAGCGAAAACGCAACA